AAAAAAAAAAATTTTTTTTTTTTTTTTTTTTTTTTTTTTTTTTTTTTTTTTTTTTGTGCCCCTACAATAAAAATATTATGAAAAAATTTGAAGAAATATGCTGAGAACCTTCCCAAAATAAAACACAAAAAAGGGTTGGCTCAATTTGTACGAGTGAAAAAGGGTTTAAAATTCCACAAATTTATAGCTTCTCTTTTATAATATAGCTCTACATATACATATGTACATATTTAGGTATATATATTATCTATAGAACTAACCGTATAGATATACAATATATACAAATACTATCCTATAGGGATAGTAGTAGTGTGAATACGAATATAAGTTATACTTATATATAAATATACATATATAAATATTATATTCTTAGATATAGCAATGTACTTTGGATGTCTTGTAAAGCCTTTCCCACCTTTAAGTACAGGTTTTAACGTTAGTTTTTCGTTATTTGTTTTCAATGAACTATTGGCCTATAAATAAGAACAATTACTGAAAATTGCAAAGTTCTGTAGCTCATCTAGTTATTCTTATGGTTGTCGAATCGAATAATTTCAGATTGTTTATTGATATTTTTTTTTTTTTATATATATATTTATTTTCTATACGCAATGTGAAACTGATGGGATTTGTGGTTTTTCCCATTTGCTTAGATTGTTGAGCAACGGAGCCATTCGATTCGTTCACGATGCTGCCGCAGCAATATTGCCTGCGCTGGAAGTACCATCATAGCAATCTGCAGACGATGTTCTCGCAGCTGCTGGACCGCGGCTGCTTCTGCGATGTGACGCTCGCCTGCGAGGGCCAATTGATAAGGGCCCATCGTGTGGTGCTCTGTGCGTGCAGCACCTTCTTCGACTCGGTGCTCTCGAACTATGCCAGCGAACGTGATCCGATAATCATCATGAAGGATGTCACCTTCGCCGAGGTCAAGTGCCTCATCGAGTTCATGTACAAGGGCGAGATCAATGTGGAGCATGTGAGTTCCGATCGGCGTACATATCTATAGCTACATGGCTATAGCTCTCTGTTTGCAGGCCAGCTTGCCCTCGCTGCTGAAGACCGCGGACGATCTGAAGATCAAGGGCCTTGCCGAGGTTACCTGGCGCGATGACGACGATGGGCCGCCACCACCGATGCCGGCTGCCGAGTTCCATTCGCCTCCGCGCAGTCTGGCTGAGAGCTATGGCCACGATCTGGTGAATCAGCAGGCGGCGCATCTACAGCCACAGCTCTCGCTCGCACACAGCGATCGGGAACGGGAAAGGGAACGGGAACGTGAACGTGACCGTGAACGTGACCGTGAACGCCATTCGCCAGCGGGTCTGGATAATGTCTTGGGACTGAATGCCGGCACTCGGCTGCCCGATTTGACGCCCCTGCCCAGTGCCAGCGCTGGCTTGGACTGCCCAGCGACCGTCTCGGATCCGTTTCTGGGACCCAAACGCAAACGGGGTCGCCCTCCGCTGGATGACACATACGATGTATTCAATGTGTAAGCTTCATTCTTCATTCATGATTGATTTGATTGAATATAGATGAATATATAAACTGGAATGACTATAGTCGGATTAGGCTAAAGGCTAAAGGTTAAACAGGAGTATATACTACATAATGTAGGAATTGTTATAAATAGATAGATCTATCTATCTAGTATGCTCTATCCATCTATACTAGCTATACACATGCCCAACAGTGAGTTCTACATAGTTGAGAGTTTTAGTTGAGGTATAATCTGGGCAGATATGAAGCTATCATATGTAATATGATTATAGACAATGTTATTTCAATTCGAAAGACAGACTGCTCGGATTGCATATTTCCACAAGTGTTTGTTGATTGTTAGTTCAGTCCAACTTGGATTGCTTACAGTGTAATATTCATGTATCTCCTGCAGCTGACAAGACATACATACATACATATATTTGTATGTAAATATATCTATTATATTGCGTTCAAAGTTCATCTGAGCTGCGTGCCCGTCCGATGGTCCACTGATCCGATCGTTACGATCTAACTAAATATGTGAAATTCGATGTAGTTCGTTTTGAGAGAGTTGTTGGGTTGATTGTGCGCTTTGATTACGGGATTTCGGTTACCCATTTTGGTTTTATTTTCTCTGCATTTCGTTTACCTATCTGCAGTCGCAAATTGGCTCAATATGCTGCGAATTTGGAGCCGGCACAGCGCGCATATTTGGAGTCGACGCGTCCCTTTGTTGAGGAAACGCTGCCAGTAGCACATTCCGCCGCATTGGCATCGCCGCCTGCTGCCTGCCCGCCCAAGCAGCGCCAGCGTCTGCGCCAGCAGCAACAGCAACAGCAGCAGCAACAGCAGCAACAACAGTCGACGCCAGCACAAATGGAGTTGGGGGAGCGCGAATTGGAGGCAGTGCAGGATTGGGCCAAAGAGTCAAGCCCCAAGCTAAGCGATGTGGAGCTAAAGACAGAGCTGGAGGTGAGCAACGATGCGAGCAGTGTGCAGGCAACAGCAACAACAACAACAACCGCAGCAGCAGCAGCAGCAGCAGGAGCCGCTGCCACTGCGCCGCTCTCCGGCTCCGTCAAGAAGCTGGTGGAGAAGCCGGTCGAGCGACGCGAGCGTCATGGCAAGCTGCGCCATGCCACGCGTCGGCTGTACGGCGAGCATGAAAAGTCCGCCGAGAAGAAGCGCACAGCAGCAGCGGCGAGCGAGTCGCCGGCAGTCGAACAGCTGACGTCGCCCGAGCCGGCTGACCTGAGGGCGAGCGCAGCCGATGTCGATGTGGATGCTGAGGGCGACGCCAACTCAGAGGCGTTGCCAAAGCCCGTCGAGGAGATCGAGAATGAGCATTTGGTGGCAAACCGAGCCGATTCGCCAGCTCTGCTGCCAGCTGCCGGCTTTGGTGGCAAGTACTTGATCAACGATCATGGCATGCTGATGGCACACGATTTTGCGCCCAATGCGGTGGCCAGCGCCGCAGTTGCGGCTGCTGCGGCGGCGGCAGCTGTTGCTGTTGCCACGGCGAATGGCGGCGCCGGTGGTGGTGGCGCTGGCAACAACAACAACAACAGCAGCAGCAGCAACAGCAACAACAACAACAATGCGTCTGCAAGTGGCATCGAGCATGCCGGCGACTTTGCCGAGGTCAAGCTGGAGGATTACGATGCAGCCGAACTGCGGCTGACCAACGAGGAGCTAACCCAGTGGCAGGACGTCATCAAAATGGATGACTACTTGGCCAAGGGTCGACGTCCACAGTTCTGGGAGGAGCCATTCACCAAGCGCGTGCGTGCATCGAACTGCATACAGTGGCTGAGCCTAGCTAATGTCTCTCACACTCTCTCTCTTACAGGTACTTGATGCCATCAAAAACAAAAGACTTGAAATGAAGAAGGCGGCTCGCATCTTGGGCGTCTCCTATGGCACGCTCTACGGGCGCTATCGCGAGGTCTACGGCTGTCTGAAGCATCCCTACAGGTAGGTCTCATATGCTATGTCGATTATATAGATAGATATGTATATATATATATATGTATCTCTAATTTGTTACGTCAGCGGCACCACTTTCCGCAATTCCGTCGCCTCCTCCGCAGGCAGCCAGCTGTCGGTGCAGCCACGATTCGATCTGAGTTTCCGCAGCAGCAACGTTTTACCCACCCAACTGGGTAAGTAATATAGCCATCCATCCACGATCGTATTTATATCTAATCCTCGAAATCTCCACCCTTGCAGAGTTGGGCAAGCTGCGGCAAAAGGATCTCAGTGAGCTCTGGACGCGTCCGCAGATATGAAAACCAACGAAGGTGTTGAAAAATCTCAAACGTCGACCCAGATTGATCTGAACTTAGTGTTAAGCACAATTTCTATAGGCTAACATATTTATGGTCTATATACCCACAACACAAACAAACAAACAAACAAACAACATTCAACAAAAAGACAGTTAAATTAAGCGTGAGGCTAGTTTAAAATAATCAAAATTAAAAAAAAAAAAAAAAAAACAAAAAATGAAGCAAATACTTTAAGATATCCTCATCACTTTCTGCATGTTATAAAACTGTTTGAATATATATATATATGAATATGAATATATATATAAATCCATATATGTATTAGATTGGTATTATCTAACATTCAATGTGAGTGAATTAGCAATTTTGTGTCAGTAGTGAAATTTAAATACAATTTAAATTAGTTTTTCAAAAATATAACTTAATGGGGACAAACACAAAAAAAAATAAATAAATAAAAAATAAATAAATATATATAAATATACATATATGAATTAAAAAATAACGAAAGTACACAATTTTTTGATAATACTATAAAAACAAATGTATTACATATAAACTTTATATGATTAAAACAAAATCACATGAAATATTACAAAAATGTTGTTTGATTTACGCTCCACAAACGAAAAAATAAAGTGAACGAAATCACTGTCAGAGGCTATTACGTGTGTGTGTAAATAAATTCTTTGAAAAATTTTCAAATCGCATTTTAAATCGGAACCGCGCTTTTTCCACCACTGCAGAGTTATCGATAAATTTCCGTTCATTTAACATTTGGTGCCAGTTCCAGTTCGCGAGTCTCGATTAACGCGAGCTGAAAGACACACTAATGTCGCCCATCAGCTGTTTCTGTTGCATTATTTATTTGTTTGCTCTGCAAATTTCGATTTACATAGGTATTGTCCTCCGATATGTATATAAATATGATTAAGTTAAGGGATGTACACTTGATGAGCTGCCTGATAAGTGGTGCCGCTGACGAAGACCAGGTTCTGCAGTTCTGTTGCCACGATCAACGCAAGGAGCTGAGCTACAGCGAAGACCTGCCGGTGGCCGAGTTCCTCAAGCGCATTAAGGTGAGCTGCTGCCTGCGCCAATGACCAAATTACTAACGGTGTCGAACACTTTCAACAGCAACTGAACAAACGCGTTGAGTTCCCAGCAGAGGCTGTGCGCACGGCCCTGAGCAGCGCCCAGCCAGCAGAGGCAACATTTCGAGCAGCCTCACAGAATGGTGCGGAAGGGCAGCAGGAGACGAACCAGGACGACGAGCAGCTGGAGCGGCGCACGGTGCTCAGTTTAAAGTATCGCATTGAAGGCACGCCGGCGCCTCTGAAATGGGAGTGGCACCTGACGTCCACGGACAGTGTCCTACTAACAGTCCGTAGTCTAGATAGATTAGTTAGATTCCTGATCAAATTATATGAGTTCGCTTGCTCTTGCAGTTCTATCGTCACATGTTGAAGAATGCACTGCATACAGCCGCCAGTCTAAGCAAAAATGTGCACTACCTGTTGGATATTGTTAAGAAAAAGGATATAGAAGTTCAGCAATATCGCCGGGATGGTGCTCGCCACTGGAGGAGTAAGACACAAATTTAGCGCATTTGATAATGATTATAGAAATGCTTATCCCTGTTATATAGCTACTGTGGCAACGGAGCCCTTCGACGTGGAGGCTTTCAGCGCCCAGAATAAACAGTTGCTGTCCGCTGTGGCTGCCTTTGAGCCAGCCGAACAAAAGCTGGATGATGTACCAACGGCCACATCCACCATTAAAAGCGAGTCAGCGGGCTGCTCCACTAACGTGGCTGCCAAATGCTTAAGTCCACGCAACAGGTTAGCCAAAACAAATGCAGTTCAAGCTATAAGTTCAACGCATTCAATGTCTCCGTCGATTGCAGAAAGCGCAAGGCAATGGAAACAGGCAAACAACATGTGGAACGTAAGGTGCTGCAGCGTCGTCGTGTACCACAGCTTCAATACAAGAGCAGTGAGAGTCAGGAATCCGAATTGGATGCCATGTTTGGTCAGATCAAAGCCGAATCAGTCAAGACTGAGGTTGAGTCAACGGTGCCCGAAATCAAGGAGGAGACAAGCTCAGACGACGAAGCGCCCAAAACAGAGCTGGATGAAATAATGCAGTTGATCAATCGCACGGAGGAGCAAACCAAGAAAATTCTTGAACAACATCAAATCACTTAGAATCGATGAAGATGGCTGTATTCAAAGCTCTCCCTCTCTATCGCTCTGTCTCTCTCTCTCTCTCTCTCTCGTTCACTCTTTTCAAACTACAGAACAATGTCTGATCCCTGCAATATTTTTAATTGTTTGCAAATTTGTTAATTTTGTATATTGATTGTTCGTTTATACACATAGCTGAAGCTGAGCATATGCATATAAATTTCATGATCTATTGATCTAAATTAGTAAATTATATTATATTAAATATGTAACATTTTTAATGTAATATGTATTATATAGTGTACATAATTCTTATGTAACAATTATTGTATTTAAATGATGATATATTTTATATTTTGTGCATTTTAATATATACATAATATTTAGGTAATTTAAATAATGTATATTACCCGATTTCCTCTTGACGACAAGACAATGATTGTAAATATATTTTTGATAATTAATATATTTTTTAAATGAAACTAAAACTAATGCTATTTACATCAATTTTACATATAATATACATATATATAAATTTTTTTTTTTTTTGCATATATGTATGTATTTAAATTTAATATTCGAGTTCTTCCTGGGACTGAAAGTTTCATAGCACCAAAGTGTGGTCTTTTTACTATATAATATATTAATCTTATGTCAACTTAGTAGCTTCCACTTGAGTGGAACCTCAGTGGTCAATCCATTAGTTTTCACTATGAAATTGTTTATTTTATATATGTATTTCTATTTATGCTGTTGGCTTTGCTGGTTACTCACTCACGCGGTTGGTAAGTGCGTCAATCAATCATAGGCATTTTTATTCTTACAATTATTTATTTATTTATTGATATTCTGTATTCATTTAAATGAAAATATTATGAAATAATACTAAATATAGCCTTGCCTTTTCCTAGAACTTTGCCAGCGAGGACAAGTGGCAGATACTTTAGAAACCATCAAAAACGCGATCTATTGTTTACTTAATACCCTAGTAAGAGGTACTCAACGAAAATTTAGAGTATATACATTCTTCATTATCGGCCAAGCCCTCAGCTCGCTCTATCAGTTGATGAGCTGAAGCTGAACATATGTATGTGTGTACATATATATCGTGTCAAATCATGCCATATGATGTCATATCATATCATGTCATATCATACCATGATAGAGTTGAGAAACATTCTCTTGGCGTTATCTTCATTTGGCTGCAAAAAGGCCACTCGCTTGGATCTATAAATCTTCATTGATTTCGTGTTAAACCTATTGATAGGGCAGTTCATTTGGGCAAAACCATTCAATAATTTTGAGAGTGTACAATTGCAAAGAGTTTATCAAGACAGTCTATCACACCCCTTAGCCATGGCCCGGTTCATGCTCGCTCTGCTCTGATTAGATTATGTCGCGCATGCATCGCCAGATTTAATTGCGACGATACCGAGTGACTAGCGATCGATGGATGGCCCAGTGCCTTTAGCCATGATTGTCCGCGCAGTTAGTTGACGTTGTCAGCTTGTGCCGCAAATACGAAGACTCCCAATGGCTGCCAAACGACTTTTGCTGATCCCGTTAACAATCCTCTCTAGCATCTATCTGACAGCGGATGGTATGTTCTGATCCGTATTACGTTCAAACTTCATTGCTCAATTTCATTTCTCTTGCGCGTGTTTAGGCGGCCGACTGAGCCCACCGCTGATGCGTCCCAGGTTCAATGTGGATCCGGGCCGGATTATCAATGGCACCGAGGCCACCATGGAGGCCACCAGGCACCAGGCCAGCCTGCGACGTCGCCTCAACGACGGCTACTTCTTTGGCACCGGCCACATTTGCGGCGGCTCCCTGATCAAGCCCAATGTGGTCCTCAGCGCCGCCCATTGCTTCGTGGAGTAAGTACAAGCAAGGATTTCACCACAGCCGATCCCCAGTCGAAATACCTCATCATTACGCAATATACGTATAGTAGCTGAAGCTCGAGGAGGGACAGCCTGCTACCAATCCGGTTTGTCCAGCTGAAGCTATACACCTGATAGCTGCTAACTGATCGGCATCAGATAGATATACGTCATAGAGCCACGCAAAACAATCAAGCAATTTGTGCGTAATCACCTACATTCAGATTGTTCTATCCGATCGTTGTATTGACTTACCCTAGGATTAGAGCTGATCAGACTTTCCTATTTGCTTCGCACATCTCAGAGACTAGACCCGATCTGATCTAATCTATCGACATTCTTAATTCCCATTGAGATCTATTTCGCCATCATATATCCCGATACTACATACAGATTGCTCTATCCGATCTTTGTATTGACTTACCCTAATCTCTTACTGTTATCCTGATACTCATATTCCATTACTTCTTCCCATTCCAGCCAGGAAATCTACGATGGCACCTTTCTGCCCAAAGAGGACATAATTGTGGTCATGGGCAATTTGGATCGCTTCGAGAAGGCCAACACCTTGACCTTTGACATTGAGCAGCTGGTGTTCCAGCTGGAAAAATTTGATTTGTCGAACTACGACAAGGACATCGCACTGCTGTTTCTAAGTGGGTCAGTGCCGGCATACCATCCCACGATACGGCCCATTGGACTGACTGCTCTAACGGTGCCGAGCGGTATCGTTTGCCAGGTCACAGGGTGGGGCTACACCGAGGAGGGCTACAGTCCCGACTTACTCATGACCGTCGATGTGCCCATTATCAGTGAGACGCAGTGCATCAACGACAGCGGCCTGGGTCAATTCATATTGCCCGGTATGATCTGTGCCGGCTACATGGAAGGCGAGCGAGATGCCTGCAACGGTGACTCCGGCGGACCCCTCGTCTGTCAAAGCCAGCTGGCGGGCATTGTCTCCTGGGGCATTGGCTGTGCCCAGCCCATGTTTCCGGGTGTTTACACCGATGTCTCTTACTACTACGACTGGATAATTGAGCAAATCTCTGGAGGGGGAAGTGGAGAGGGAAGCGGAGAGGGCAGCGGAGAGGGAAGCGGAGAGGGCAGCGGAGAGGGAAGCGGAGAGGGAAGCGGAGAGGGCAGCGGAGAGGGAAGTGGAGAGGGAGATGGCGATGGCGTCGGTATGATTACATTTTCATTTGGCTTGAGCATTGCAGTGCCTGTGCTGCTCGGCCTATGCCACGTGTCCTAGTCGTAAGTCTAGTCTGTAAGAGGAACTCTATCAGTGGCCGGCTGAGCCCTACGTAGAGCTGCAATTCAGAATTTGTATATCAAATAAATAATAATAAACAAATATTATTCTCTATATAAATGAATGAAATATCAGATTCTCTCTGGGTTCGTAGAATCTCCCAGTCGAGCAGTCTTCACCGGAGCACTCCCAACATCTAGTTGCCTTTGAAAAAGTTTCTAATCTAGTTGGCTTTTCGCTCGTCATGAATTTTCCTGCGTACGGACCTCTACGAGAACATTCAGTCTCATATAGTCAGTCAAACTATTGTGTTCAATTTATTATAAGTAAAAAAATAAATATATTTTTTTTCGGTGCTAAAAAATATGAATTCCATCTTGAACATACGCTGGGAAGGTAAGATGAATGCGCTAGGATTATTTCTCATCGTGCTGTGCAGCTCACTCGGCGTGACCGAGTCGGGGCAGACGGAGGAGAGCAACGCGAACCAGGCTCTCAAGTGGCAGGGGGAAAAGCCACTGAGCAACAATCACTTTGTCTCTCTGCGACGGAAGCCAGCGAATGACTCTTATTATGGCGCTGGCCACGTATGCGGTGGCTCGGTCATTAGCCACACTGTGGTGCTAACTGCTGCGCATTGTTTCGTGGAGTATGTGGTTGACATTTCCCCCCCTTAAGGCAATAGCTGAAGCTCTAATTGTATGTGTGTGTGTGTTTTTTTCAGTCGAACGAGCTCGAATGGCACTTTCCTGGACAAGTCGAATTTCGTCGTTGTGCTGGGCAAGAAGCAGCTGACGACGGACAACGATAAGCCGTTGTTCTTTAGACTGCAAGAGGTGGCGGTGCTGGTGACGATGCTGGACATGGAGAGCTACGACAAGGATATCGCATTGGTACACCTCAACGGCACAGTGCCGCCCTTTATACAGCCCGTTCAGATGACCACGGACACGCATCAGCCGCCAGCCCATTGCCAGATCTCCGCCTGGACCAACAATCAAATGGAATACTCTCTCGGCCATTTGGTCAACCTAAATGTGACGCTAAGCGAGCGGCCGGCCTGCCAGCAGGTCGACCTGCTGCCGGGCATGATCTGTGCGGAAAATGCGAACGACACCCAGCTGGCGGCCTGCATCCCCGATGATGGGGGGCCGTTGCTCTGCGAGGGGCAGCTGGTTGGTATCAGCACGGGGGACATGCGCTGCGACATGCCCAAACAGTCGGGCATCTACACCAGCGTGGGGCACTACAAATCCTGGATAGACGAGTTTGTGCAGCGTTACGATATACGGGAGCAACGACAGTCGGCCGACTCGGATGCGGAAGCCGACCCGGAATCGGATGCTGAAGATGATATGGAAGCGGACGCCGATAGGGATGGGGATGATGATGAATTTGACGGTGGTGTTGATTCTAAAGACCTAACCGATGCCATTGACTCCACCAAGGCGTCAGGGGTCGTCCACACCTTCAATCCACTTAAATTCTATTTATATGTCATATTCGTGTGGAGCCTATTCCGCCTCTAACGATCCACAGTTATGGGCATAATACAACCGTTTCCACTGACACGAGAATTGATTGAATGCCATGAGTAGCCTACTTTTAGGACCTTGTGGTTGATTACACTGAGTGAGTACAAATCGTTGACGCCCACTGAAGTGGGGAACTCATCATATTCTGTATCTTCCCTAGCAGTGTACGACGAAACAAAAACAATTACCAGAGTTCCATCTATGTGAGGCGACGATAATCGTTTGAACTGTTCTTTTTTTTTTCTTGATCTTTTGAATAACCCATTTGCAAATCGCTCAAAATTCCATTTTGGTATTACAATTGGCAAATCTGTGTTTTATGATTCATTTTTGATTTAAATAAAAATTTTGAGTGACAAACTACATATGGGATCTTGCAACTATCCAACAAATAAGTGTACAGGGTATTTCCTAGTCATAATCTATCGGCCAGTGCGGCTCTAGCTGCCTGTTGGGCAATTCCTAAGGCTTATCGGCGATCGTCAATCGCTTGTCGACTGCAATTTAGCCATGTAAACGTCTATCAATTACCCTATCTTACGAAACAAACGTATTGGATGTGATTAGCTGGCATTTTATGGGAGAGCTCTATTGTGATATTACCATAGGGAGTTAACAGATCAGAGCATGTGCTGTCAAGACATTTACACAACTAAATGATGGAATTATGTTAAGTGCATGTTAAGTGTATATATATATTATGTTAATGGCATGTTATCAAAAGTGCATGCCAACTATATGTTAAACGTATGTTATTTGAAACAAAAGCAGTGCTGCTTATAGAAGTGGACGTGACATTTATCCCTAGATGGATTGATACTCAGTCCGTCTTCCACATAAGTCCAGGGTATATCCATGTTGCCAACTTCAAGTGCACTGCTCGCAATTTAAATATAAATAAAAAACGAAATAAACAAAGTAAGAAAACGAAGAAAACAAAAATGAAGAAAATAATAAATAATCTGAGGTCTTATCAATTGCGATTATTATTATTGTGTGTGTGTGTGTGTGTGTGTGAATGTTTTTTATGGCATGTTGTACCTTTATCAGTACATATAACATATAAACAAAAATAAAAAACAGAAGGAAAGATCAACCTCAATATAAGGAAGTAAAAATACTCTTCCCGATTTTTAGAAACACGACAGAGAGAGAGAGAGAGAAGATAGGCTGAGAAAGTGAAAGCAAGAGAGAGAGAGAGAGAGAGAGAGAGAGAGAGAGAGAGAGAGAGAGGGAGAGAGAGAGAGAAATGTACAGAGAGAGAGAGAGTGAGATAAAAAAAATTAGAAAGCGATGGAGAAAGATAAAGCTAATCGAAGATAAGAGAGAGATAGAAAGAGATATTGATTCCCTCGTGCCTATTATGATATTTTCTTAGAGACAGATCTAGATGAGGCCCTCGTTTACATATGCGTCACATACTGCAAGAAAAGTCAAAAATGCCCTTTTGGAAGTGTATTGAAATAAACATAGACCGAAATCAAATCAAAAATTGAATTATCTGGGGGAAAAGCGTTTGCGAATTTGATTTCGTGCGATTTAGAATTGAACTATTTCATTCAGCGTTCGGCTCTCTCTAAAGGTGCGCACTATCTGGCCGAAAGCCTCACGAGCATTGCCCCGCCTAGTGTTGCGTGTCTGGCGATCCATTCTAATAATAATAATCCTAGCTCCGAGCTCAAATAATTCCGAACGATGCAACTCAACGATCAGATCAAGAGGATTCTCAAAATAATGATTTTTGCATTTCTATGCGCCGAAATGCAAACAAGTAAGTCGAATACCATAATGGATTTGTTAATACTAGCTTTGGCATAACTTTTTTTGAGGTTATATAACCGATTTTTCTAAATGATTAAATTCAAATTAGAATTTTCTAATATGTGAAGTAGAGAAATTTCTTCGTAGGTCAAAAATTATAGAAAAATTCTATGAAAGGTTGGGATTGAAGATTTCCAGATAATATATAGTATATATATACACATATAATATAATATACATAAATATGTAATGCATGAGCAAATCAATCGTGTATAGGTGTTACGGAATCTGAAATATAATCGGGCTTCAAATATTTCCACGGTGGTATGCTCTTATCACTATATAGAATGTATGTAAATTAACATTTTACTTTTTATTATATTCATGCATATTCGATAGACTCTGACCTTAGTCAAAATATGTTTTCTAGAAATCTCAATATAAATGGAATTTTATTTTAAGAATTTTCTTTTAATTTAAAGAATTATATGTATATATATATATTTTATCTATGGCATATTTCTAGATAAAACACACGAAAATATTAATTAAAATGGATTGTAGTCCGCAGAAATTTCTCCGAATTATGTATAGATAATATTGATATTGGATATTATAGAGCAGTGAGCAGTCACTACGTCAAGTCTTATAGCTATGCTCAGCTGTTTTGACTGTGGGTGATTCGAAGGCCAAACTACAAATAGCCATTTCGTAGTTTCCGGCGTAACTATTGATAGGCACGCGCGTCAAAAATTTTTAGTACCGTGCAATAATACCAAGAACCCAAACTAAATGGGTAGAGCAACAACAAAACTTTGGTAAACAAACGATCAGCTGATGGGGGAATGCGCCTGAGTCGTTCGCATTGGTATCGATAAGCCCAACGCCTTGGATCACACCATATAAAATGCATTTCACCTGTTGCCAAGGCCAATTCCGAAAGTTTACGATAATCAATGGGGCAACTTTACTTTCACCTTTACTTGAGCTGAACAAATTGATTGATGATGGGCAAGATTTATGAATTGCTGGGAAATATCTTGGTTGTTCGGCTTACGGATTATGACTTACGGCTGAGTTTGGTTCGGTTGAAAGTATGTGAGAGAGATTAGGGTTATATGAGTTGCTAAGCAGAAGCCCTAACGTCTATTCAATCTTTGAGGTTCCCTGCTAACCTTTACGTTTCCTTGTTTCCCACTTTCAGCCTACACGCACTCGGAGGTGGCTAAGAAGCGGCGCATCGGCTCGACCGCATCCGTGGCACCGTATCAGGCCTCGATACGGCTGCTCGACCAGGAGCTGGACTACTTTGGCAAGGGTCACATCTGCTCGGGTGCACTGGTGGCTCCCTCCGTGGTGCTCACTGTGGCGCAGTGCGTCTATGAGTAGGTGTCCAGCTGCTGCTGTGCATTGGAGTCGGACTAATTGCCAAATTGCACTTTTTTGTTTTGTTTTTGCAGCCAGGACAACATGAGATTCTATCATCCAGCGGAGCTGCGCGTCGTGCTGGGCAGCACTCAGCGCTTTTCGCCCACGGCTCATGGCCAGGTGCTGGGCGTGACTCACGTGCACAAGCCGCCCAAGCAGCTGTCCCTGGCCATACTCATGCTCGAGCAGGATGTTGCGGCGCATCTCACGCGCATTCACCCGATTGCCCTGTCCGCGGACAGCGCCCAGCTGGAGGGCACATCCGAGCCGTGGCTCATCAGCAGCTGGGGCTTGGCTGGCGAGGATGGCCACGAGGTGCACGAGCTGCTGCGGCTGTACGTGAAGCGCTCGCCGTGCGGCCAACAGCTCTGCGTGAAGTACGACGAGCAGGCCTATGAGCTGGATGCAGGCGCTCCACTGACCACGGCCAATCAGCTGCTCGGCCTGCGCAGCCAGTCGTCCGTCTTTGTCGATGTCGCCAGCCACGTCGACTGGATACGGTCACAGATCGGCGACGGCTCCAACCAGAACAGCTCCATCTGGGGCATTCTGGGTCTGTTGGCCTTCACGCTCTATGTGATCAAGTGCAGCTGCAAGGGCCTCAACGGCTAGGCTCTACTGTACGGTGGAAATGCCATATACAAATATGTGAAGTCTTAAAGCGAAAACTTGTAGGAAAATGTGATAATTGCTATTAGGGGTAGGCCATAGAATAAACAAAATTAATATGATTTTTTTTTTAAAATATTTTTATAATTACTTTATTAGAATTTTATGTAAAATATTTCTTGAATATATACATTTTTTTTTTTTTATTTTATTTTAAATATTTTATGAATTGGTTTCCAAGTAGAATATTCTATATATATAATATTTTAATAATATATGTAAATCTTTTCTTTTTTTTTAATTTTTTTTTTTATATATTCATTAGGGATATTCTTTAAATTTACTTTTTATTCTAAATTTAGCTGATAACACAACAGATGCATACATAGATATATTTAGAGATTTAACAATAATTTTACACGAGTTCAAATAGACAAGTACTATGTATAAGAGGTAGTCCCGCAATATATAAATATATACTTATCAGGTCTACTCCACTAGAAAGTAAACTGAAATTGCATAACACTCGAAACATTAACTAAATATATGTATATATGTATATATTTTAACATACATATAATGACACTTAACCTGACGAATTTAGCTCATTTGTAGCATGCATAAGGGGTATTCCCGCTACGGCAACAGAACAATGACTTATACAATCGAACAGATAATACACTAATAAACTGCCTAATATCAATTGTAGCAACAATTAACAATCAATTTGAAACAAATGGAATGCGCCTAATAGCTCATATATGAGATCGCTGCTAATCGAGTAGCGCCTTGACCAGGCTGCACATGCGTTGGCCGCAGAGCAGCAGCACCGAGGTGGAGGTGGTTAGCTGCTGGCCGGAGCGTATCAGTGGCCAGGACCATTGGAGGTCGCCCATGTGGCCGTAGGTGCGTTGCTGCCAGCCCTCGATGTGGGCGTAGCTGAAGAGCTGGAAGTGCTTGGAGCCGGGCAGCGTCAGCACCAGCAGGTGGCGCTCCTGGGCGACGGCGAAGGGCAGCAGCTGCTGGATGCGTGCGGCCAAGTGCAGCTGCTGGAACGGCAGAAAGAGCTGCGCCCTCGGATTGTAGCTGTAAATGGAGATGTGGCGACAGCTGTGGCAGCTGAGCAGCAGCTGCTCGGCCTGCAGCTCGGCCAGATCGTAGTCGCCCTCGATGTGCTGCAGCAGCTCGAAGCGCTGGCTCTCTGCGTCCAGGCGATGCACTGCCAGCACCGGCAGATGCTCCACTTGCTGCAGTCCGTTCGTCAGCAGCAGAGTTGAGATGCTGCCATTCGCCTGATCCTCCAGCTGGATTAGCTTCATTAGCCGCCCAGCGGCGGCGGGCTGCACCGATTGCCAATCGCTGAGGCTGCAATTTGTGTGATTCACGTGCAGCACACGCACCTCATCCGGGCTGCTGATCAGCAGCAGGCTGTACTCGTGCTCATCGTGCAGCTGCAGTTGCTCCACATGCTGGCGCAGGCCCAGCGTGTGGGCGTGGCCACGGCAACTGATGTGCACGCGTGCACGGAACTGCTGCTCCAGCTGGCAATAGTTCTGCGCCTTCACCCGTATGGCAGCCCGCTCGGAGCTGGCGCGCAGCATGCGGCTGGCCAGGCTGACGTTGCTCAAGTGGACACGCTGCTGCCTCCTGGAGAACTTGGCCCGCAGCTGCTGCAGCTGACAGATGCCAGTCGGCTGTGGCGATTGTGGCGCCACCGCCAGCTCGAGCGGCTCATCCGCTGCCGGCTCACTCCAAGTCCACTCCAGCGGCTGCTGCTCGTAGTCCAGATAGAGCAGACGCTGGCTGTGATTGGCGCGCTGCTGTTGCAGCTGCTGCTCAAGCTGGAGCAGACGCTGGCGCAGCTGCTGGCGTGCCACGTTCTGTGGCTGCGTCTCCAGTCGAGCCTCGCGCGATTCACCTATCGAGGTGTCCACAATCAGGCCGCCCTCGAAGCGCACGTCATCTAGGACCAAGCTATCGATGCTATAATCGCGATCCGTGTAGATGCTCTGCTGGTAGCTCTCGCTGAGGTCGCGCCCATTGAGGCGCATTATGTGGGCGGGACCCTCGAAGCGAATGCCGCGGGCGAAGGTCTTCGGCCCGCTAATCACCTGCGGCCGCTGGCTGTGCCGGTAGACGACATTCTGCAGGGGAATCCCATTGATGGTGCGCAGCAGGCAGCGCTCGCCAAGCACCAGCTGCTCGAACTGAAGTGTGCCAAAGAGCTCCAAGGAGGCGCCATGCAGTGGCACGCGGTGCTCCAACAGATACTCCAGACTCATGCCATTAATCTCGTCCAGCTGCAGATGCTGCTGCAGCTCCAGATGTTCCATGCGCACGGGTGGCCAGACAGCGTCTGCTGATTGCTCGAAGATGCTGGCCACTTGGCGGCCATTGAGCTGGCCCTGGACTCGGAGCTCCCCAATGTCCGGCGGCAGTTGGAAGTGAAGCTGGGCTGCGATGGGCAGTCCGCTGGAGCGACGATAGAGCGAGGCATTCAGCCGGAGCAGATCGATGTGGTTCAGCAGCTCGAACTGGCCATCGTTCAGCAGATTGATGGAGCGTGCGCGCACAGCTTGAAGCAGTGTCTGTGGTGCCTTCACCACCTGGGTGCTCGGCGCGTGGCGCAGGAGCGCATCCTCAGCGATGTGGCTGAGATTGAGCTGGCGAGGAAAGCTTTGGCTGGTCTGCAGCTGGACCAGGTGGGGCTGCTGTAGGACGACGTGTCCGGAGATGATTTGCTTGCCACGGCGACGCACCGCATGCTGACGCAGATAGTCCAGTTGCGGATTGGAGGCAGCCTCTCCAGGCCACAGGGCATCGCCCAGCACCATTAGGCGAGGCCAGCTGCGCTGCTGTAGCGCCGCCAGCAGCTGTTCCAGCTGTGACAGCTGCGGATCATTGGCCAGCGCACAGCTGAGGCTGCCATGGATGTGCAGCTGGGTGACGTGAAGATCGCCCTGCAGATGCAACGTCTCCTGCCGCAGGTCCAGAAAGCTGCCCGCTGGCACACCATTCACCTGTCCCACGTCCACATTGCTGGCCGTCAGCCGATCGAAGGTGTAGACGCCGCCAATCGACTGGGGCGTCGTGCGCAGCAGCGTGTCCTCTAGCAGAGCGGACAGATCGAGGCCATTCACGCTGGGCGCTTGCAGGGCATCCGTAATCAGCACCGGCGCCTGGAAGCACTTCTGGCCGGAGATCACGCTGTTGGCATTCGCGCTGACCAAGCGACTGACATACTCGTCCCAGTGGATGCCATTGAGGGTCTGCAGCTGCAGCGGCCGGTCGAAGCGCACGTTGCCCTCGATGATGAGCTGTTTGTGCAGCAGGAGTGGCGGCTGTGGTACTCGATCCTGCTGCTCGTTGGGCACACTCATCTTGCCCAGCAGCTCGTCAAAGGCCAGGCCATTGAGCCGCTGAAAGATCAGGCTCTGCAATGTGGGCTTCTCCGGCAGCTCAAGACGCTGCAGACTGTAAGCCGGCTGCAGCAGCTGCGACAGTTTCATATGATTCAGGCGCTGGACATTCAAATCACCTCCAACGTCGACCAGAATCTTGACCACAATCCGGGGAAAGTACTTGAGGCTGGTGAAGTTCTGTTCGAGCTGGCCCTTCAGCACCAGCTCGGAGACGGGCACACCATTCAGCACTTGGCTTGTGAGCTCATCCACCCGCAATGGTGCTTCGAATAGCTTGGTGCCCGTTATGCTGGCCGTCTCGCCCTGACGCACTGCGTCGTTGGCCAGCTGAGCCAGCCGGCTGCTGTAGTTGCCACAGTAGACATTGCCCTCAATGCGGGCATTCATGAAGATCACGTGCAGCGGCTTCCTCGAGGCTCGTGCCACGCGATCATTTTCAGCGACGCTGAGCAGATGCTCAGCCGTTGGATGTCCATTGATATGCTGGGTGCTCAGGGCGACTGTTGTCACCTTGGCATTGCCAAAGACCAGTTTCTTCAGGTGCTACGAAAAGAAAGGTGAAGGAGGATTAGGACAGGGATAAAATAGACCTGATCTGAACTCTTTTATCCGACTTACCTGAGCTTTATCGCGCATTAGATAGTCCGCGTGCAAGTCCTCTGCACGCAGGGATTGTCCCAATAGATGGATTCGCGTCACATTCGTATCAGCCTGCAAATTGTTCACCGTGAGAGAGCCATTCAGGGTGATCCGGCCCGTGTAATACTGCTGCAGATTGGACGACTGATGTGCGCCCTCGGCGGCCATTTGACGGGGCCATTTGGTCATGTTCGCCACGAGTATATCACCCGAGACGCTCATCTGGTAGATGCGAACGGGCGCTGCAAGGATCAATAAATATATGAATGCAGCCCAGCCGTCCATAATTTTATTATTTGGTATTTTTCTATTCACAAAATGTTGTCGAATTTGTTACTGAATGTATTTCATTTCATATCGTTTATCGTGAAATGTCATATGAAATATCCAACATCGAGTGGGGCTTGAAAATCATATATGTACATACATATGTTTAGGCCATCCTCGACTCAGATCAAAATTCAATGTTTGGTTTCCGATTCAGTGAAATCTATGGCAAAAATTGTGACGCCATCAAGATGTCACTATTTTTGTGTTGGATTGATATTTAGATTTCGAGCCTTGCCGGATCAACTCCTTGGGCCTTACTCACTTTTAATAAGGGAATCCCTGTCGCCGCGAAACACAATATCCTTTGCAAAGTTGAGGCCGTTGACTAGATTGGCGTCCAGCTTGGGTGCATGGAAGGCGGACATGAATATATTGGAGTCCACCACCTGGGGCTGCCGCAAGTTGAAGAGCCGCTGCACCACCAGTCCATTCAACAGCGGTGTCTGCAGATTGACAACGCGAGCGCGCAACTGGAAGACGAGACGTCCCTGGATCTCGCTGTCGCGCGACTTCAGGAAGAGCGAATCGTAAAAGTCGAACCAGGAGATGTTGTTGATGCGCTCCACTTGGAGATGGCGCACCACCATGTGGTTAGCCGGCATGCGCTCGGGCTGCTGCTTGTCGCTGGGCGGAATCAGCAGCTTCTGTGTGTGGAGCTGCTTGGTGAGCAGCTGTCCCTTGATGGTTAGTATGGCTGGTGGTTCGGCGGACTCCACAGAGTAACCTGGCAATAAAACGAGAGAATACTGTAAGAAGTTTTGATTCAGTGGGAGCCACGTCTCTGCCTCACCTGGCAGCAGTTCACCATGGTAGATCAAATTCTGGACATGCAAACGCTTCGCCTTGAGCGTGTCCAGTGCACCTGCGTTGGATGCATTGCCCACACCAAAGGAACGCCTGTTGCGCCTGCGGGCATATTGCTGACGCAGCTGCACCACTCGCTGCTGCAGTCGCACGGGGCTGGCCAGATGATTGCCATGCAGCTGCACCAGCTCAATACGGGAGCCGCTCTGAACGCGCAGTGGCTGCGACTGGTTGAGCTTCGGGTCATGCTGGTTCAGGGATTGGATCAGCTGACGCAATGCGTCCACTTGTTGCTTGCGACGCAGCAGCCGACTGCGTAGTCCATGGATTGCCTCCTCGAATTCGTGCCGATGCTGCTGCACACTGCTCAGATCTGCGGAAGGGTATATGAAAATATTACTGAGACTCAATCCTGTCAAGATTGCAGTTTACCATCGTTCCCTTCCAGACTGGCAGCCAGGCTGGCTGGCTCATTGGCACCGCCCAGTTGTACCACCCGCAGCATGGTGGCGCTTGGACTATTTTGATATGTTAGGAGTACAAAGCTTTCGTTCTGTGGATTGCGATGCGTGTAGACGCCATTCGGTTGGCCATCGGCCCCAAAGCCGCTGTAGCAATCGAGGCGCTGGCTGTTGAACACCAGCATCTCGCCATTGGCACGTGCTCCCACCAGCAGCTGGCCCTGCTCCGAGGCGGCCAAGTGACTGAATTGCAGCTGACGCAGCACATGCTTCCGATACACCACAAAGTTGCCATCGACCATGCGAAAGAGGATGCATGAGCCACCGCTGCTACTGGTGATGCTGGGACAGGCGAAGATCAGGTTGCGGCCACGAAAACGTACGGCTAGCACGTGCCGCGCCTGCACCGTGAGGCTCTGCCGGCGCACCAGGCGCAGCGTGGGCGTCACCAGTTCATAGACGGACAGCACAAGCTGTGGAGCAAGATGGAGAGAGTTAAGCATGTGTCGCGTAACGGTATATCGCTGTCTTACTCTAGCTTGTCCTCGCAGCGATCGCCCGGTGATTATGTAATGGGGCTGATGGCCCACCACCTGAAAAGCCTTGATGGTTGGCAAACTGAGCTCCTCCACGGGATTGAAATAGGACTCCAGCCATTCGTAGGTTCTGTGAAAGTTTGAGTGAGAATATGGGGTAGACATTTGGCAGCCTGGTGCATATCTCACCTGCATCTGGCCTGACTGTGGGTCACATTGAAGGTCAGCAGCAGCAGCACCTGGTCTGCATTTGGCTGCAGCAAATGAAGCTGTTGCAGGCTGCTGCCAGCCAGAGCAAACTCCTGAATGGGCTCGAATCGCAGCTGCCGGGCATCCAGCATTGCCTGCTGGGGCATCTGATAGAACTCCACCGACTCGTCCAACGCCACGGCCAGCAACAGATACTCTCGCCAGAGGACGACAGCGGCGGCTGTGGCCAACTGGAGGCGCACACGGCCCGCCAGCTCGCCCAGGCGCACTAGGCGTTTTTCTTTGCCGAACAGCTGCAGCTGGAACAGCTCGTGGCCATGGAGCACCAGCAGCAACTGTGGCGCCCGCAGCACAAGCAAATGCCGTTCGTGGCGCAGCTCCATGTCCATGAAGGGCAGACGAATCTCTACGCTTAAACTGGTGCCGTTAGCATCTTTGCGGCAGACGCTGGGCAGCAGCTTCGCTGGACTTCCAGATCTGCTGTCAATGGGCGCCTCTCCATGAATCTGGGTGTGTTGGTTAGAGGAGGACAGCTGCCAGAGTGGACAAATTTGTATTCATATATTATTCTACTTACCGTTATAAAATTGAATACACATAGCAATATAATACGCAAGTCCATGAATAACAAATACACGCACATACGGGGACTGACGGAGATCCTAATAGGTTACGATCTCCAATTAAACTAACATCAAATTTTCTGCGCACGCGTCGCAAAAATTCACACGTCTTGTGCTCTTCCAATGTAACGGCTTTATTCTTGAATGCAAAGGGCGCGAAAGCACTCAGAGAGGAAGAGACGATTGACTACGCTGCATATTGACACACATACATATATACATACATACATACATAGTTAGCGCTGTGTGTGAACATCAAATGCAGACGTACATGCAATGTGTCACACGCCTTGTAACGGTTAACTTCTTGAAAAATGAGTGTAAGTACAAGCAGAGCGCAAAGGAGAAAACGAAAAGACCGAAAAATTGTAAGTGGAAGCGAGACAAACTCAGCTGTGTTTCTTCCAGGCTGCACACTGGTACAATGTACTTGAAACATTGCAATGCAAATGTGAAACGGAGATTAGGCACCATTTTTTTTACAGAAAAATAGTGTTATATTAGAAATTATTATTAAATTATTATTATTATTATATTATGATATACATATATAAACAATTAGTGCAGCCTAAACGTATGCTGCACTTAATATTCTATATGACAGTTGAAAATAAAAATAAAAATAACTAAGTTATGTTATTTACATATATGTACATTGCGCGTCATCAGGTTAGCGCCCCCCTTCACACTCATCTTCTTTTGCTTTTTTCTCTTTTCCTATTGCACGCAACTTCGTAGTTTTTGTTTTGATTTTGTTGTCAACATATGAGATGTCTCTCATAATAAAATCAAGCGCGAGAGAAGAACCGTTATATTTTATTTTCTATTCTTCTTTATTTTCGCAAAGAATGCGTCATCAGATTAGCGCCCCCAAATGCAATTTTAGTTATCTTGCTTATTTTGCCAAGTACAGTCACCAAATTTTTTGGGAAGCTCAAAGTATTCAATATCTTTAAATAAATGTACAGTATGGGTAAAAAAACAGTTTTATCT